GCAGTCACATACTCAACCACTGCGCTACAGCAACTTCTTATTGCTCTGAATTCTTTCAGTAACATCTAATGGAATCTCTCTATGCCAGTGGCTTATCGTCCATGTGAGACTGAACCCTTTTTTGTGTGTGTGTAGACCAACTAATGACGTGTCGCTAGTCGCCTTTAATCTCCAGAACATTCCCTAACACCAATATTTTCATGAATCTGCCTGGAAATCAGGCTCAGTTTGGGGGAGGGGGGTTGGGGAAAAATGTTTCCCGTATGAATTGGAACTCAGGATGTTCGCGCCGGCATGCGAGGATCTAGGCACTACGTTAGAGCGGCCCCTATTCTTTTAGATGCCGAACCTGCCCCTGTATTTGTTAACTGTTTGTTATTTAGTTAACTAATTTCACGTCGATTAATTTGCTATTGCCTCTGGACTATGGGCTCTGGATTACCAACGTTGAAACCATCACAGGGCGGTCTGTTTGCTGCCAAATTGTCTGCAGCTGGGACTGAGCCGAGACCTCGAAATGACGAAGGGAGTTCGCAACCTTTAAGCTACCCACTGCAAAACGTCTCTCAAATCACAGTCTGCATTAAAAACAAAACCGGGTCTCTCGCCAGCTCTCCCGCCTCGTGTACTTTCATATTCAAGGAGTCACTTTTATCATGTGCCCATCTTCGTGTTGGTCGGTCCCTGCCCCTCCTTCCTGGTATAGAGCCTTCTGCTTTTATTATTTTTTCCAAGCCACCCAGGAACCTTATTAGTACTCTCTATACATTGCGTATTTCTAAACATGTTCTATACCTGACCTCTCTCACTTTCTCTCTCTCTCTCTCTCTCTCCCTCTCTCACACACTCTCTCTCTCTCTCTCTCATTGCTGTTTCTGTTTCCGCCACCCCCTCCCCCCCCCCCCGCCTTTGTTTCACACCACCCCCCGCCCTAATACTCCAATTTTACGTTTTACATATCTTTAAGATTAAGGGCATAAACATTATCGCTGTTTAGGATAAAAACCTGTGTCAGTGACAGGAATCCAAGACCTTCAGAGCGGGAGGCAAACTGTTTCTCCACCTCGCCACGGAGACTCCCAGCTTATCAAAGTGTCAGACAGCAGACGTCACTGAAACATCAACAAATCAGCGGACAGCGTGTCAATATTGACTGACCAACTCCCCCCAGTTAAGTTCCCCGTCGCACTGGGCACGACATTATTTGGTACAAGGAGTGAATCCCTTTTGACCAAACCCCATCCATGTGTCTATCTGGCGCTTGATGGAGCATCTCCTGGAGTTATTTCGTTTTATGAACAAGTTGTATGGTGTTGACATGTTTAGAAAATGTTCAGATTTCTAAACGAAGCCACGTCTTTTGGTTGTTTGCTTGCCCAACCCTGGGCCTGTCGTATTTCTGATAGTTCTGATGGCCGTTTATACGCAGAAATGAAGTTACTTTGTTTTAACAGAACCGTTTTCTTCTTTTCTACAAAAGGAAGATCAATATGCATTGATAACTAAACTGACACTTTAATAGAGAATAAATGAACGGGATAGTGGAACACCTTAGCGAACTGATGGACGAAATATTGTTTTTATTATTGCTCGCTGAATTGCTCAATTTTAATTACTCTTTACACTGACAAGGAGCTGAAGTGATGTAGCGCCGGACGCTCGCTAGCCAACCCAAAGGTCTTGAGGTCGAATCTGCATGGTGGCAGATTGTTTTCAAAATGAGCATTGGCTCTCAGGTCGACATAGACTGAAATGAGTATCAGGTTGGGAGTCTCCTTGGCGAAGTGGTCAAGCCGTTTGCCTCGCTCTGTTAAGGTTGTGGGTTCGTTTCACTGCTGCGCTGATCGGTTCACGAGTGAAATTGTTACGGAGATCGCCAGGGATCGTCGCCGAAGCTAGGGTGGACGGGCTCTATTTGAAGCTTTCGGCAGGCAGCTAGCTGTTCTGCGGAGAGAGACTGTGGCATATGGGATTAAAACCGATTCACCTATTCGCTCACAAAAGTCCGTTCTATCCTGCGCAATTAGTGGTGGATATCATGGGTGGAATCCAGTCCTGCATCTTTAGTCTCTCTCATCAACCTTTTTTTTAGGGTTTCTTTTGGATGTCTTAGCTTCCTGGGTTCCGGTATTTCCCTTGTTAGCGCTTCTTTGGTGATTCTCTGCTCGCTCCTTCTCAGAACGTCTCCAATATAGGGCCTCTTCTGTGTCTTTTTAACTTTCTTACCACTGGCTACTCAGACACATTTTCCTTATTTCCTCACCCCTTTTGAACTCTTCCCATTTTATATCCATCATTTTCCCCAGGCATTGTTTCCAATACATTTAACTTTCGTTCCACTCGTTTATTGATTCTCCAATGTCCACTGGCAGTTGCTAAAACTTGAATAACATAAGACTTGAAAATAAATGTAACTTTGTTACAAAACTATGCAATTTAGAGTTCTGTCAGCGTTTCACTGGTTTCCTTGATATAGCCTGACCAAATGAATACGTTCTGTCTCAGATGGACATGTGGGCAAGGACTGGTGGTTAAAAGCGGCCTCATACTTCTGAAACACTATTGGGGGTGGTTGGGGTTGGGGGGGGGGGGGAGGGGTGAGAACAGCTCAAGGAATCTCAGCTGTCAGTTTCGAGCCCCTATATATAACAATTATTTGAATGTTCCGGGATTCCATAAACTGAAGTATCAAAGTAATGTAGTCTATCTGATAGCGCTGGAACCTGACGGGTCAAGCACCTTAGCTTACGTTGCGAGAGGAGGGGAAGTGGTGAAGGGTCCACACTCCCCCCCCCCTCCCTCCAGTGCTTCCATAAAAAGGGGTAAAAGAGCTAAACGCCCCTGCCTCCATGTGACAGTTCTCCATTATGTATTTGCTTCTATATGTAACATTATAACACCTGTTTGAGATGTCTGAGAAGGGCTGTAGGAGTGACCATAAGAGATAAGATCAGGAACAAGATCATAAGAGAAAAAGTCGACACAGAACCAATTCTAAATTACAAACGAAGACAGCAGGTGAAGTGGTTTGCCCACTTAGAGAGAATGCCTTGTGACACCATACAATACAAAGCATACATGGAAAGAGAAGAAGGACGTAGAGCACGAGGTAGACCAAGAACAAGATGGAAGGATAACATTAGAGAAACTCTACAACAGCACGATGTGCCTATGGTCGAGGCAGCCAGAAGAGCTAGAAACAGAACCTTATATCTCCCTCGACACCCACAGCGGTAAAAGAGGAAGTGAAGAAGAAGAAGAAGAAGACACCTGTTTGCTATTCAGCACATATTAATAGTTATTATGATTTTATTTAATTACACTCTCAAACAAGACTTAGACCCTGTGTGTCGTGCATAAAGTTGCACAGTGAACAGCGTGTTCCAGATCCATTTCCACCAACCTTCATTGTGGAGTCGGCGCCTGATCAATTGATACACTGAAGCCCCTCGATTCCCATACAGAAATCTGTGCGGCTAAGCGCCCCCCCCCCCCCCCCCCCCCCTTCTACCCCTGCTTTTCTTTCTTTTTTTTTTTTTTTCTTTTTTTTACAAGAGACCGCCGTCTTTAAAAAATACTTTCATTGTGTCGATGCCTTCGTGTCCAGTCCCTTCCTGTAGATAGCTCATTTAATCATTCTTCTTGTCTCTGTTTCACATTGCGACTAGCAATGTTTGGCAATACACAATAAACATAACGTAGACTCGACAAAAAAAATGTAAGTAAATATCAAAGAGAACTGGTCGAATTTTTTTTTTTTTTTTTTTTTTTTTTTTTGCTGTTATTATCCACAATGTGTCTAATACATCGGCCATTTACATCAATAATATTAACAATCGTTACAACCATCAATTTTATACAGGAAGAGCCCCTTCTCATTCCCCACAAGATTTTTTTTATTTACATTTTTATTGCATGAGACACTGACAACAATAACCCACAATAAATATCTGTGGCAATATTAACTGGAGTAATTCTCTGTCGACACCGCCCCAGAAAACATCATGAGTGATGACACAAGAAAAGTTCAATTTTGCCGGAATATTTTTACCGTCCGGACAGTAAATTTCAAGAAGCTTCAAGCACTACCAGTATGGCGTTCTCAATGGACCTCTATAAGAATGTGACAAAATTAAGTGCGCGAACCGATTTCATGAAAGCCAAGAGTTTGAACTTTTCCCCTTTGGTTCATTCTTTTCCGTTCCTCGTACAGTAATTTTCTTTGGGAGGAGCGGCTATGGGGGGCTTCTGTGGCTTGTTTTGCTTGGCACAGGCAAGAGCGCTAGACAAAAGACTGAAAATATCGTGTGATAAATGACGGAGAACTTGTCTCATTTCCTCCGAATCTAATTCCAAATAGCGGTAATCAGTCCCCAGTCGGCGACCCCTATACAAACGCATTTGGTTCGAGTTATCGAATTAACAACTCAGGCAAGCGAGACACTTTTATTGGTTGCTCGCTTGACGGGTCACGCTGGAGAAGATGTCCACTGGTTCTGCTGATTGAAGGAAATACGGCCTAACTCCGCCCACTGGTTCTCCTGTTGACAGCGTGTGGACATACAAATGTCTTCAGGATGAGGATGTAATCAGCCTACGTGTAGTTACCCGAAGTGACGTGCAATACTCCTAATTCCCACGACGAGCAACCCTGCGCCTAAAATTATATTGGACTACATCAAGGAGATCTTGTCTACAAGCATTTTAATATGTCAAGTTAGCTGCATCTTCAACATTTGAGACTGCGATTTATTAACAGATTCCGTTGTTTTCCTGTAGTTTTATCATGTGTGGATGCATTCATTTTCGACATGTCGATCAAAGGAAATTAAAGCTGCGGTGAGTTTAGCGTAAGAGTGAGTAGGTCTCTAGGAAACTTAACGTCACAGTGTTCATTTATTAAACCACTACGGACAAGTCAGCTAACATCTTTAGATATTTCAGTGTTACTGCAGAATTTGTGATAGTTCATAATGCAGCATAATCCATCTTGTCCTGATATGGGCTCGCCGTATATGTTATGGCAATATGTCCAAATGATGACGCCTTTCAAACATGCAGACTGCAATATCCATCCAGCGTTTACTCATATGTCTCCACATGCGATCCAATCCATGGCTTATATCCAGGATCAATGTGTGAACAACGTCAACTATAACGTCCATCAGCCTCAGTATCAACATCATCCACAGAATCAGCACGATGTAAACAACCCTCTGCTGTATAATGGATATTCAAGTAACTCCGACTACTTGCCACCCAGTGAGAATCTAACCACCAACAAACCAGCGAAGACCCATCCAGCTAAACCTAATCATAAACCAAAGCTCTGTCATGTAGCTAAACCAGTAGACACTTTGCAAGTCCCCGTGTGTACATCCTCAAAGAAGAAGTCTTCGTTTACTATAGAAGAGATCTTAAGAAAAGGAGATGACAGAAAATATCGAGTAGAATCTTCTCCCCTCCCGACTATAGAAACTGATCATGACAAACACATATTTGACTCAAACACTAGCCCAGTTATATCTGCAGCTTCAACGCCACGAAAAATTGACTTAGGTTCTCCATTAAATGGGCACTACAACATCCAACCGCCTCTTATGCACAGTACACCGACATCGTACCATCATCAAGGCCCCCCGAGAAGACACGGTCGCTTTCTGAACGTGGCTCACTCACATCCTTACTTCATGCAACAGTATGATGGCGTCGATAACCACCACCACCATATTCCTCAGTCGTTCCAGTCTCATCCCTGCATATTACCATCATCCCAGGGGACGCCGTCCTCTTCACTGGCGTCTTCATCGGGCTCTTCATCGGCGCCATCTTCAACGTCCACTTCGCCAGAATCCACAACGATGCCAGGAACGGTATGTTGTTTGTTTGTTTTTTTTTTCTTCTAAAGTTGTAACATTTCTCTCACATCTTTTTGTAAAAGTAAATGATTATTTCCCACGCCTTTAGGTATACTGGGCAAAGAGAGTGCTACACCTATATTGTATAGACCAATCGGCACTGAGTGGATGATATGGTTAGCATCATGCTGACTGCCTTTACTTCCGAAGACTTTACCTGGTACGCATTTATTTTAAGCCTGGGAGGACCTGTGAGACAAGATCATGCTTGAAAAAAAAATCAGGCTCCATGTAGATTTGAACGCACGACACTCAGATCCGCAGGCAAACATCTAGCCGCTATACCAGGACGGTTCTTTATAACATGTTGGCAGTAAACTAATTAAAGAACAATTTCCCGCGCGATGGAGAGTATCGGGCACATACTGGAGGTCTCAGATTGTTATAGAAATGCCACACTCGAGAGCTGACTTGGTGAATAGCCTGCCGGCATTCCTTATTCCCCGGATTAGTTCTAGTCAAGGGCTCCTGAACGCGGGAGCCCAGGTACTTTGCCCACTCCACCATTTAGGAAGGTTCGGAACCCCCCCCCCCCCCCTAAAACATGTTATGATAGTTCTCTTTGAAGTATGTGTTTGTACACTTCAAATTATTTCAAATACATTGTTTATAGTCAATTGCAATTTGGCTCATTGTAATTAAACTTAGTATTATTAATATTATTACACACTTAAAAGAGGTGTAAGCCTCTCGAGCCCTCTAGAATATTTGTATTTGAACGAAAATGTTCTCTTTTTGTGGCTTGTGGTTTTAGTGGTGCACCGTGGAAGAGATTGAGACCACGTGATATTCCCAAAGACAACAGTAGGTTCTCCGGCCAACTTCCACTGTGGAGATAGCATACAGTTCTCATCAGAGCTAGCTGGCATACACAGACACAGGCCGATCCGCTTTAAAGCCGATGCTCCTCGTGTGTACTGCGCGACCAGATCCAAGATATAAAGGACATATAGCTCAAACGGGAATTCCCATTTTTGTGAGGCTGGCTTGGCCGGTCAGTGGTAACAGTTCTTGTCGAGCAGATTTATACACAGATTGAACTACTGTTGAATTAATTTGCGACATGTTTTATTGAATGAATGAGGGCCGGGGCACTAACACGCCATTTCACTCTCACAAACACACACAAACACACACACATAATCATCATCATCACTATCATCCTCGTGCTGGGTCATCTTCTCCTTCTTCGCATTCACCGGCTGTAAACTCCAACGGAAAGTTCTGGTTGTTATCTTGAAGATACATAAATGGGCTATTAAAAAATATGTATCTTCAAAATGATAAATGACCCTAATTGCTGACAGGCCTTTGCGTGCTTTTGTTATAACATGGTCAACGTGTTCTTTAAAGGACAGGCTGCGATTAAACCTCACTCCGAGGTATGTCACCAGATTTGTTCTCGTAAAATTTCCTCGCTGCTTTCCACTGCTGCTATATCCGCCTTCACTATATGCGTGCTCAAGGAGAACCACGTTACTGAGGTTGAATGTTCAGTCAAGCGAGTCTTATATACAGTATGTAAAAAAGTACAATCCTATCATTACATTTATTACTACAAGTGAACACTAATGGACAGCTTCTATTTTTTAATTCATTCCTGCGAAACCTCCTAAGTAAGTTTATCTAGTTAGTAATGTTTAGGTCAGCGACTTGGGTGTTGAGAACATCGTAATTCCGATATACCCTATTCGATTTTCTGACCACTTTGTGTTGATTTCGACAATGGCATGAAACACCTATCGTGCCGGGGCACTAACAAACCATTTCACGATCACAAGCGCACACAAACACACACACACATATACACATTACACATAATCATCATCATAACTATCATCCTCGTGCTGGGTCATCTTCTCCTTCTTCGCATACATTGTCGTAAACTCCAGCGGACAGTTTTGGTTGTTCATTCACCTCTGGACTTTTTAGAATTGTTCCAGAACCCAAGTGGTGAGTTTTACAGATCTGGTTTATTTGTATGCAGACTGTTGGTTCCTTGCCTCTCAGGCAGATGCACTCCGACTTCGAAAGAAACCCCCCAGTTACCATGTAAGCTGATTTGTTACTTCAGTCTCCTCCCCCCCCCCCCTCCCCCACCCGGGCCACTTTTTTTCATGCACAGTAAAAAGGTCCTTTTGTACGTCTTTCGATGTACTGGGCATTTAGTGCTAGGCAAATATTTTTAGACAAATCGGCACTAGGTGGGAGTCGGGGGTCGACGTCTCGCCGGTTGCCTTTACCAGTAGAAGAAGACTGGCGATCTGCCAGGGTCTATTTTTGAAAAAGACCGGCTGCGTATGGATTTGAGCAAGTGACCTTCTTAACTTGCTCTTCTTACAAAAAATCGTCACTTTCAACCAGCATCCCCGAAGGGGAAGCTTTAGGTTATCATAGTGGCTAGATTATGTGCGTCGTTTAAAATAGTTTGGCATTGCATGCCACCAAAAACCCCTAAAAAGGACTCCTGCTGTGTTTATGCGATCAGAAGAGACAGACCCATATACGTTCCGCCCTTCGACGAAGTCGTCTACCGGCCGGCCAATGAGCATTCGGTAGCTGACGAAACGACTTTGGATCTGTAGGCGAGCTTCCACTCCTTGTTCAAGGACAACAACAAACCTCTAAAGAAACGCTTTTTCAGTTGATATGAATGATACTGAAGCCGGAACGAGTGCTAAATGGCAAGATGCTGGAAATTGTGGAGTTACGGTTTTGTTAGAAATATAAATAACAAGTTTGCCAGCAATAAATTTGACCACATTAAAAGAGCATAACTGAAGTTAAAAAATCTGTGTTAGAAGGGAGAAAAATATGAAGCAGGCATTTGATACATAGATGCAGGTCTTCTTCTTCTTCTTCTTCTTCTTCTTCTTTTCTTCTTCTTCTTCTTCTTCTTCTTCTTCTTCTTCTTCTTCTTCTTCTTCTTCTTCTTCTTCTTCTTCTTCTTCTTCTTCTTCTTCTTCTTCTTCTTCTTCTTCTTCTTCGTACCATTCACCAGTTATGAATGCAGCGGAAGGTTCTGGTTGTTCATCAACTTTTAGACGTTGGTCTTATTCCAGGACTGCACATTCATTTCTTAAATATGACTTATCTGTATGCAGACTGTTGGTTTCTCGCCTCTCTGGCATATACACTTCGACTTGAAAGGAACCCCTAATTAGTCACCCTGCACAATAAGCTTGTTGGGGGAGAGGGGCGGTGGATCTCTTCAGGATCCCCAAAAATGGGGTCTGGAAACCCAAACACAGGATCAGGGCTAGCGAGGTAGGAAGACATACAAATATTGACTTGAACAGAAAGGATAAAACCACAGCATGACACAAGAAAGAGCAGACTGTAGATCCATTGTAGCAATAAAGGCTGCCACTTATCTCATCTCCAAGATGTACGTTGCTTGCTTGCTTGTTGCCCCCTACCAGGACTTCACACAAGCGATAAACACCCGGTGACACAAAGTGACACCATGCGGATGAGGATCACCTGTGGAGAAGTCACAGAAACCCCTTTTAGCCGTTATAGAAACAGTTTTGGCCTAGCTATATTCAGGGCCCCCGACAAAAGAGAGGGTGGGGCTTCAAAAGATGTCTGTTTTTGCAAGTGCTTTTTTTTTTTTTTATAGGTAGCAAGCAAAGGCACCAGCGTCTTTTGAAGCATCAATTTTTTTTTCCTTTTCCAACAGACACTAGTGGTAAGTGCCGGCATCTTTATAGATACTGTGTTGAGTACATTTGAAAAAAGAAACACCATGTTTCATGCCTTTCACACTTTCCATTCAGTTGTTTAGAATGTTATTTAACACTCCAAACACTAGCTGTTCAGTTTTTAATCTTATGACTGAACATGTCTGGTTCTGCCTTACAGAAAAACAGGAGAAAAGAGCCGGAGGGAAGTCAAAGAGAAACAGAACAATATTCACACCAGAACAGTTGGACAGACTGGAACAAGAATTTGAGCGACAGCAATACATGGTGGGCACAGAAAGGTATGGAGTTCGTCACCCTGTCGCCGCGAGGTCAGGTTTAACCAACTACGCTATGGAGCCGGGCATTTATATATATATATATATATATATATATATATATATATATATATATATATATATATATATATATATATATATATATATATATATATATATATATATATATATATATATATATATTCCGTGCTGCTTTTTCTTCCGAGATATAAAATTGTCAGTTATCTTTGTTTTCAATGTTGAGTCAATCCCAGAATCGCACTGGTCAGGGAGGAAACAAATAACCCGGTCACTGTTTGGCTGTGAGCCCAGATAATAATCTCAGCAAGTAAACAGTGTAACGGCTCATGATCATCAAGTATATTGCCGATCTCCAGTTTCCTCATCAAAGTACGTGGGGGCTCTAGGGGCCGTGAGGAGGATATGTAAAACCGAACAGAAAGTCTACTAGCTCACAATATAACCGACAAACAAATTGAACGTTGCAAGTTGGAATCTTCACTTCACTTAAGAAATCAAGCAATACCATACAAATACACAATGGTAGACAATGATTATCAGTGACTTAACAAAAAGATACTTCATTTCTACTGGCGGGCTGAACATGAGGTAAAAAGTCAAGTGAAATATGTAGTAGCATATATTCAGCAAGCTTCACAATATAACAAACTTAAACAAAACGTGAACGTTGCGGCTATGGAGCCTTCATCAGCATATAAATAAATCAAACAATACCATACAAATACACAATATACTTTGACGGCAGGCTGTCATATATCTATATATATATTTTATATATATACATATATAAAATTTCTTAAGGGGTGGGGGCCGCTCCATATGGTCTGAGCTTCCAGGTTCTGGCGCCCCTGTCTGCCTTTTCCATAAAAGAACATGATCTGCCCTATCAATTTACTGAGTTCATTTCTCATAATACCCTCACCAGGTGACATGTCAATGACAACTCCTTGTACTCACCATCTCAACATCTATCTAGGACGTCGACCCTACAGGTAGCCAGCCCTTCACTCAATTACTTCCTGTAAAGAATTACGACTTCCCTCACTTGTCTTGAATACGCGGGACCCAGACTGTTTTACCGAGCCACATGATCTCATCGTCGACATGTCTTCAGTGAGTGCTCTCACTTGTCAGCAGGTTTATAAAGTTTTCAATGTAATGTCCTGCCGGTTGTTGAGCTCCAACTGGTTGCCGACAACATAACTCAGTGGTTGTTGAGCTCCAACTGGTTGCCGACAACATAACTCAGTGGTTGTTGAGCAGCCAAAGAAAGATGGTTGTTATTGTGACTGGTGATCCTGAGCGGACCAGTCTGTCACAATCTTTTGTTCTCTCTGTCAAAACATCCTAAAACGTGCGTCTTAGCAGCCAAAGATCACAGAGTTTCTTCAACTTTCTCACGATAATCCAAAGAAAAAAGACAAAGACGTTCGCCGAAGATGTCTTCTGACATTGTTGAGAGGTCTATCGTTTGTTTGATGTTCATAATATTTATTCTTTTTCCCCCCAAAAGATAGTTATTATTTCTGTTATCTTTGAGAAATTCAAAGACGTCCTATCGCTGCGAAAAAAGATAACTATAACCGAAGAAATCAAGGGTAACATTTACTCCTTACTGTCATCTTCATTGCTTGTTCTCTTCAGGCTCCCGCTGAAGCAGAGAGCCAAACTCCTCAAACTGAATGCTTTTTTGAAAGATATCAAATGAAACGAAAAGTAGAATCAATCAGCTTCACATTATCACAAACATAAACGACAAGCGAGCGTTGCAGCTAGAGAGCAGTCATCCGCACATACATAATACCACCAATATGAACCAGAATGTACAAAATGAAAATGGTAATCCAGGGAAAAAACACAAAGAAAACACTTAAGTTATCAAACTAGCCACAAACATATCTTCTTCTGCGCATCTGTATCTGCTCTGCATCTCCCAAAACGAAGCATAGCCACCATATCAAGCAGCTCGGGGGCATTCATAAACCTTTTAAACCTGTTCATGGCTTGGATTTCGCTGATTAACAGCAGCGCCATTGATCCAGTTATTTGTATACGGAAATCTCGCACAGGACACATCTTATGAAGTTTGTGGCTAGTGTGCTAACCGTATATCTTTTCTTGACTCGGATCTGCTCGTATTATTATTATTATTATTATTATTATTATTATTATAATTATTATTATTATTATTATTATTATTATTATTATTATTATTATTATTATTATTATTAGGAAAGTGTGAAAGTTTCAACGTCGATTCTGGACAATTCTGTCTCGATTACGCAGCGGTTAGCACTCTTGCAGTGTCGTCGGTAGCGATAATGGTAACGATAATGGTAACGATAGTGTTAACGTTAATCGTAAAAACAATGGTAACGGCAATGATAACGATAACGGTAGCAATAATATTAACGATAATGGTAACATGGCATAATAAAGTACAGGATCCTTTTTACAGCAGTGGCGTATCAGGCACATGATGCTGATTATAGACCAGTCAGAACTATTTGGATGGTGTAGTCTCTTTCCCGACAACCGCATTACCTTCCCATTATATTCTTCCCGATAGTGCAAGCCGTGTGGCGTTGACAGTCATGTGTATCCACAACGCTCTGTCTCGCTTACTTTTAATTATTTCTGACACAGAAGGTTTTCCATACCATGATGTCAGACTGTCCAGCATCTTCTCTTCCGGTCTCTCCCTGCCTCTCCTCCCCTTCAACTTTCCTACCGTCACGCTATACTTTAGTCTTCTCCTTTTCATTGACATGAACAGTGAATGTAGATTGTCTCTTTCTGAAGTATTGAATTAATCAAGTAACAGAAAGTGTATTGATCGACACTCCTAGAAAGAAGTAGAAAGATAGAAGAACACACTAGACAGCATAAAAATCGAAAGCTATAGTTACCGTGCCGGTAATTGAACCTGTCACCTCCAGACGGCGTGTGCGCCTCGCCATGGATACAAGTGCACTAAGGACATGGTCAACGAGGCCCCCCCCCCCCCCCCGAAAAAGGTGTCTTATTGGCCATGTCTATCGTACAGCTTGAAATTCACAACTATGGAATACGGACAGAATTCATTTCAAACCATTGAAATGGCACCATAGGTTACAGAAATTTATATTAACGAAGCATATGTCGAATAACAATCACAGAAACAATACACAGTAGACCTTAATGCTTTGTCTAGAATACACAAACATTTAAGAAAGGTATCACATTGGTAGGTTCCGGTGTGTATACGTCATTCCTATAAAAACTCTTTCTGAAGTAGACAATCGGTACTCTTCGTGCATCAGTTTATTTATTTATTTATTTATTTATTTATTTTGCTGTTTTTTTTTTTTTTTTAAACATCTTCATTCCCTTTTTATCTGTCCAGGGTATTCTCATTATTCGTTTATAAAACTACATCTCTGCCGATAACAAATAATTTTAATGTTAACTTCCGTATCTTAGAATAGAATTTATAGGACTCCTAAGAATTCTCCTTTCTGTCTCAGCTGACAAAGAAATGTTTCATAAATATTCTACATTTTGCAAAATGCTGCATTTATATCAACTACTCTACATTAAGCTTCTTTAATCCTTCATTTATCTTTCAGCATAAAACTGTTACCTTTACTTCCCAAGATATTATCTAGTACCCATTTTTATACTGGGTCGACCTTGGAGCGATTGTAAATTATCAAAAGGAGGGGGGGGGGGCAAAATGCGATTTAACAAATGTATAAATAGTCAGAGAAGTTATCAATTAATGGTAACATAAGTAAGTAGTACCCGGATGCTTTACATACTAGGCTCATAGCAAATACTACTGGGTGCATAGGCGTAGGAAACTGCAGGCTGTTGCCCTTTGAAAGCTCCCTCCCCCACCCCCACTCTTGTCCCCAAAATATTATTTGGCGGGTGGAGGGGGAGGGGGTTGGGCGAATGTTGTCTCTTTGGAGGACACGTATAAACTCCCTCTCATAATGAAACACTTTACTAATAGTAAATACGTTTGAGAAAAAGTACCGTAATTAACATATTATTATTATTATTATTATTATTATTATTATTATTATTATTATTATTATTATTATTATTATAAAGCGATTAAGTTTTGCATATACTGAAATATAACGTTTTTCTTCTTCTTTAGCATTTGGAGCTCTCGGAGATAACGGCTGGTGAAATCACTTTCTTCAATTTATCTTCGTGACTGGCATTTTTACCGTGAATCTTATACAAACATAAACTCTCAAACGATATTTACAGCTCATTATACCAGGCAAGGATGGGCCTAACTACCTGAACTAAATTCACCCGGGAGTGAGTGAGCAGAGTTGAAACACACTAGGACCGCATACTGTACGATGAATACCTAGTGACCTATAGAGCCACAATTCGGATAAGAATCCCCTAGGTACAAATCTCAGAAAGCACTTTAACAGTAAGGTTATATTGGGGTCCCCGACAGTTACAAAGTAACCTGGTCCGGACACTAATGATTTCATGCCTAGCCATATCAATAAGTTTAAAGACACATACGTAGGAAATAGATGCAGTTGTGTATGAATTTTGGGTAATTATTAAAGTGGTAACTGATTATTTATCTATTTCTGACAGATTCTTCCTAGCTTCATCACTCAGTCTAACTGAAGCCCAAGTCAAAGTCTGGTTCCAGAACAGAAGAATCAAATGGCGAAAGCAGCATCTGGAGCAGCAACAGGCGCGTCTGGCGAAAGGAGATCTTTTCAGAGACTTAGACGAGGAGTCAGGTGATTCCGACATAGAGGAAGGTCCGAGAGCTACTCACCTAGACTCGCGCGAAAGCAGTTCTCCCGCAGACAGTTCAGAGTGAGATAGAAGTACGTTTCCGGATAGATGATGTGTCTGTCTGGCTGACTTCCGCTCACGGATGCTACTTGAAGGCTCGATAACCCTTGTCAGTCGAATTCCGGATCACAATTCAACAAGACAAATCCCAGATCCCCTGCTCGACCGCCTAAGAAGTTTTAATAAGGGCACCTTAACAACTCTTCGAAGTGCTCCCTTAATGTACTCTGCTGACCACAGCGGGTAAGAATGTGTATGTTGCAGACAACTAAGAGTTTGGGTTAATACAAAAATGATAACCTCTGATCTGATCGTGTCTCCACCAATTCAGATACTAATGTTTCTTGAAGTTCAAGTTAGCAAGATCGACTTCATCGCACCAAATGTTGAACTATATGGTTCAGCCACTCTCCTCAGAACTTCTAGCCCCCACCGAGAGCGTCGAACAAAGCATGAACACCGTAGCTGAGGAATATATGTAATAACTGCACTAGCGAGCTGAAAGATGCGTCCGTGAAACAACCCACGACCTTCAGAAAATAAAGTCTCTGGCGTGACCACTTCACGACTGACATCTCAAACACTGATTGTCTTGCTGTCTACAGTGAGACGATTCTGAATATGTCCGGAATGAAGAGTTCACTAAAGAAATTAAAATTCTAGCCGCAGACGCTCAGATCTGTTCTGATTTGGTTTTGGGCAAGTGAAATCACAAGTAAATAATGACAGATCTAGGGAGTTAACTTCAGTCACCTGTGACCTGGTGTGCATGTAAAATTTAAACACCTGTTAGCAGCTTACTATCCCCCTCTACCCACATGTTACTACAGTCAAAAAATTACTGTATAATGTAAATGGTCTGTTGACAGCTAGGGTAAATTGATGTTACACTGAAGCTCGAAAATCCTACCTAACAGATACGCAAAGGGTTTAAATGTTGGGCTGATACTTTAATTTTGTGACTGCATTCATTCATTTACTGTTTAACTGCTTATTTATTGCTGGTTCAGTAGGCTTAAGATCCTTCTTCCGCCGTTAACGTTTCTGGCATATCTTCTACTTCTTCGCGTTTACCAACTGTAAACTTCGCTTGAAAGTTTTGATTGTATGTCCACTTCAGGACTTTGGTAATGTTCCAGAGATCACGTTTAGAGTGCACATCTGTTTTACAGATCTGGCTTATTTGTACATAGACTGCGGTTTCTTGCCTCTCAGACAATGCACGACTTGCTTGACTGGAGAGGCAGCAAGTCTTTTATTGTTGCCCCCGAATTGGAAGCGCCGGAGCCCACAAGGGGACAAAGCTGAACTTAACGTTTAGTTTTGTGGCTGCATTTCTTTTTTTTTTAAATTAATCGATCGACCGCATATATATTGTTGACACGGTAAATCAGTAAAAGACCCTTCCCGCACCAATAAGAAATCGGTTAAATGATATTATATTCATATTTTTTTTTTACACAAGTCAGTAACCCGTATGCCGTGAGCTCAAGATCATGCCGATTTGATTTGATAAATCATTTCCTTGACAAAATTTAGACTGGAGGACCGATGATCGATGAGTCAAAAATGACCTTGGTTCCACCGGTGACTCAGCTTAAAGTGGATACCAGATACTGTCCTGGGACGGAAGATCGTCTTGTTTTACAATATAATAATTTTTGTTTGACAGTGCACACAATGGGAAAACCTGATAACAGTATAACTTTAAGAACACTCTACTAATGGTGACCATGTCACAACCACGGGCAGCTCCAGCATTGGAGTCAAACAGGTCTACGGAAATTCCCGTTTTGTTAGCTCCCAACCATATACAGAAGTTCTCTTTTAAAGTTTATGTTTATATAACCGTACTATTTGAAATATACTGTTCAGCTTATTATTTCTAGTATTATTAGGCACTTAAATAAGGCTCGTGCTATTTGAGTCCCTGTCCGCATTCTTCTTTCCTTAAAAAATGTTTAAAGGTGCCCCATGTTTTCTTTAGATAGGCGCCCCTTTACTAGCTGTCACACCTGTAAGAGAAAGCAAGTGCAGTATTTTGCTGAGTGTGCAATGCAAACTGGCAGGTGTTTGATGGATTACCATAAATCTTACAAATAACGGTCTTGGATCCGGTGTATGACCGTCTTTAATAGAGGCCTTGGGGCTGATTACGTCAGCTTGACGTTACGTCCAATACGAACTTAAACAACTTTCGGTAAGGCAATCGATATCTGAGAAATTGGGAGGTCATATATCTTGACGGGGAAAGTATACAGATCTACATTAGTAGATGATAGATCTACACTACATAAGTGGACCCAGTAAAATCAAGGCAAGCAATCTAACTTGAGAAATACATATAAATTAATTAGTATGAATTATATAGTTTATATGCTTTTTTATAGGCGTATCTTCTTAAAATATATTAGTTCTCAATGAGAGATAATAATAATACAACCTATCTTTGTTTTTTTTTTGCAAAAAGGGGGGGGGGGTGAAGGGTGGACTGACTTGCTTAGGATACCCTATTTTCAGCTCAAAATATGTGTGGGGGGTGGGTGGGATAGAGTAAACAATAGAGAAATAGAAACTACAAAAAGAATATAAAGTATGTATCCAGATAATCTGCATCAAATATTTGGGCAAGATCCCTACACGTGGATACATGAAACTAAACACTCAACCTATCACCTGTGGTATACAAAAACAGCTGAAAATTAGTGAGTGAACTTAGCCAGCTTTCTTTTCTTGGATGATTTATCCAGAAGGATGTATTTTTTTTTTTCTATAGTTTGCGAGAGATGACAGATCTTTGGAAGCAACGTTTGCTTTAGGACAACGCACATTTGGTGATAGAGAGGGGAAGGGAGAGAAAGAGAGATTATCTGAGTGAATGTGTTATTGTGAATGTGTGTGTCTTATAGTAAAATCAGCATTTGTTTAGTGTATGCAGGTATATTATACATGTGTGTGTGTCTTCCAGTACATACAGCATGTGTCCTAAAGCTTTGAAATCAAAATGTAACAATCTACGGTATCGACAAGATGCATATTTTACACTGTTTGCAGAACAGAAATGTGCTATGTTATCCTAATCCATGTCACTGCACACTGGGCACTCCCATGCATACTCAATGCTTCGCTGCAGCGGCTACCCCAAGGTACCTCTATAGAAATGTTATTTGTCATGTGATAGTTAATTTCTTCAGTGAATATGTTTGTCCATATGATTGTCACGACAGTTAAAAAAGCAAGTTAGAGCTTTCTGCCCAGGCTGCTTGGTCAGTATTAAACAGATTTTCAAAAGAAGGCTAGCGTTGTCGTTGTTGATATCGCCGTTATTATTGTTGTTATTTTTTCCATCTACTTGGTCATCATCATAATCTTCTTTTTTTTTTCTTTGTATTATTGATATTTAGACACCCAAATGTCTCCCTTCCGGTAAAACAGCAAATGATTAAGAGCATCTTTATCCCTACTGTATGTTATCAGTGCCAAAAATGGACAATGAATTAGGCACTAGAACAGAAAATAACTACATGCGAAATGCGATGTATCCGTAAGGTCACTAATAGCACAAGAAGAGACAGGGTTACGAATACCAGCATGAGAGAGAAAGTTGGAATAAGACTATATCTGGATTATATTGACAGACAAAGAAAAAAATCTTTTAGACATCTTGTGAGAATGCAGCCAGACCCGACTGCATATGAGACTTTTTACAGCAGAACATCTGGGATGAAGGCGAGAGGAAGACCAAGAAAGATATGGATAAACGATGTAGCTGAAATCTTCACACACAAAAAGTTAAACAAAACCATCACTCAAGCCACCCAAGAAGCGCAAGACAAATACAGACAACCACGACACTGGGCTACAACCTGGTATCAGTGAGAGGACAAAACCACGACACTGGGCTACAACCTGGTATCAGTGAGACGACAAAACCACGACACTGGGCTACAACCTGGTATCAGTGAGACGACAAAACCACGACACTGGGCTACAATCTGGTATCAGTGAGAGGACAAAACCACGACACTGGGCTACAACCTGGTATCAGTGAGACGACAAAACCACGACACTGGGCTACAACCTGGTATCAGTGAGACGACAAAACCACGACACTGGGCTACAACCTGGTATCAGTGAGACGACAAAACCACGACACTGGGCTACAACCTGGTATCAGTGAGACGACAAAACCACGACACTGGGCTACAACCTGGTATCAGTGAGACGACAAAACCACGACACTGGGCTACAACCTGGTATCAGTGAGACGACAAAACCACGACACTGGGCTACAGCCTGGTATCAGTGAGACGACAAAACCACGACACTGGGCTACAACCTGGTATCAGTGAGATGACAAAAGAAGAAAAATTATGATTTTTAGTATGATTATTATTATTATTAATATTATTATCAAGTAAGATAAAGGACCATATTTATACTAGTGGTGTAACTGGCATAATGAGGCTAAAATCAAAACTTGTATAAACCAATCGGCATTTAGGGGCAAATTGTTGAAAATCATGGCGGTCACCTTTACTTTGCACGACATCACACGGTATCCTTTATAGGCTGGATGACCCTGGGAAACAAAGTAAGTTTTGAAGAAAAAAAAATCACTTCGATACGGGTTCGAACCCTAATTCTCTGGTCCGAAAGGCGAGCATCTAACTGCTCCATTCTTCCTAGATCTTGATGCTTTCTTTATTCGTCGTTCAATATTATTCACTTGTTCTCAAATACATTGACCAGATTAACCTTTCTATGCATCAATTCACAATTAACTGGTGCATAACCAGTCAGTCTGTGCGCATATTCGTTTCGCACAACACCAACAGGCTCCGGAAATAGAACCTAAAAGATGCAACATTGTAACTATTGCTCAGCTCACATTAAATGGAAAAAAAAAAAGGAAAACTGCTGCCGTGAACAATTTAAACAAAAAATCTAACCAAGAATATGGAGCCCCCTTTCTAAAATGAGCGCAAAACGTGTCATAGGAAGTAAAGGAGAACGGCATGCTCA